AAATGATACCTTATTTATTGGAAACATCTATTATCCAATCAAACACTTATATCATTTATATCGTTGCATCCTGTTCGGATTGACCACCAGAAGGGAATGTGATACTGGGGACAACAGCTGGGACTCCACGGCGAAGAGCTGTGACTGTGGCGAAACCGCTTTCTTCATGGCCGACCTGAGAAACATGAATTTTCTAATTTTACATGATCACCCTAAGTCTTACAGACAGACAAAAGAATCTCTAACCACAATGTGCAAATCAAACGAAACGATGAGAAAGGAAGAGGACTTAGCCATGACTTCTTTGAAACCAAGATCACTTTAATGTACACTAACCTCTTCGCAATTTGGAGGATGTGCGATTTTTCGGACTGGAGGGAATGCAGACTCAATAATCTGAAAGTAACTTCAATATGTACCGACTTGGAATGTTCCCTAAGAATTGAGAGCTTAATTTATGAATTAATGCGAATTCAAAGCGGAATTAACCTTGTATTTCGTCTCATCTTCGAGAAAATGATCGTTAGGAAATGTGACGTCAAACTTTACATAGAGATTTCCGCGGATGTCATGATGACGCCTTTGTGGCATGCCTTCTCCTACGATGCCACGCACGCAATCTGCAAAAATTACATTGTGGCATTGAAGTCGGAGTTTCTGACAAAGTAACGGATGGGGTGAAGATACGATGCCCGTTCAGCATTTGCTGCAGCTGCAGCAACAGTTGCAGATCAGGGGCCGTAAGGTATGCTTCCCCGAAGGGTTAGGGGACGAAATTCCTTTAAATTTTCTCTGTCTTCCCAACTGGGATTGTCCTGATAAAGGGCCTACATTTAATATATGTGTGTAGCTTAAAGTAACATGCATTGAAAATAAAGAAACAGTATCGTTCAAAACAAAAAATTTAAAGGGACTTTCGTCCCCGCAACCATTCGGGGAAGCATACCTTACGGCCCCAGGATGTTTCTAAGCTCACGTAGTGCAAGGCGAACTTGGAAGAGGAAGACTGTTTCAAAAGTACCTGGTGTGATTATATCGCCCGGTTTGTTCTTGAGAATAAGAGTACGTCCGTCTAGGTGTTTCAAAGGAATTTCATATCCACACAAAGCCTCGTTTAACGATATAGTTCTAAATGTATGGATATAAGCACTGGTCAAAAGTGCAGCAGATTGATAGGAAAATTATATACTTTTTCGCGATGAGATCGTCGCCCTCCCTCTCGAAGACATCATGTGGCTTTACTTGTATGACAATGACAATGACCACGTCACCGGGCTCAATGTCTGGCTAAAAAAAACAAGCTAGAAAAATAATGTGAAATTTAAAAATATAAAGCATAAAGCAACATAAACAAAAACGAACATCGGACTGATCTCCCTCGCCTGGGAATGTGATTTTGTCGTTATGGCGCATTCCAGGCTCGACGTGACCCTTAACATTTGAAACTTTCTGTCGTTTTCAAACGAAGGAAACTATCACAAAAGACCTTGAAGCTCTGATAACCCTCATCACTACACTATCAAACATTGACTACCTCCAAAATTTTCTTGACTTCCTCGCTCTTTTCACCCCTGCAGTTGCTACATTTGTCTGATTCGGGAATCCGTGAACCTAAACAGGTAGGAAAAGATAAATTGTGAGATACACATAGATGCTGAAAAGTGAATGCTTTTGCCTCTGTGCCAGAATGCAACAGCGAGGAATTAACACCTTGGCGACCCTATCGATGAGCGGGCAGAGATACGAGGCAAAAAAAAGGATGAGCAATGCCTCGCCAGGCTGCTGACGTTCCCTTCGTCTGCGGAAAAGCTACATTTCGCTTACCCTGGACGTAAAATACTCTTATCGAGTCTGTATAGTACTACTAATACTCCTAGCCTACGCCGCCTGGGCCTAAGGGTTCGGATCTACATGATGGTTATCCATGTGCCAAAATTTGGATGTGCTAACTAATTTTCACGTTTCAAAATAAAAAATTCTTTACTGTGCAAGTTGCGAACAATCACACACCGAGCGTATTGAGCATGACCCACTTTAATCACGTCAGAAAGTTCACTGTACCAATGCAAGCTGATCTGGAATTCTTCCTTAGAGATTTTTTTCTACTAGATTCCATTGCTTTTCACTTTTTTATGTGCTCCAGTGGTCTGGACCGTGAAACACCATAACAATGCAGAACGCAGACCGCGAGACACATAATCGAGCTAAGAAGAGGATTGATTTTGCAAGTCGTCATTTCAATTCATTACTTTATTCTACTTTTTATATGCCAGGTTTCGCTCAACTTAATGGCTGCTTATTTTGTCATGACGAAGTGAAGAATCGGGAGCTACAAAGATGCCATACTTTAGTGATCGATTCTGTCGACAAACAGAGATTTCATGGGAGAGCATCCGCCCCTTACGGGATAACCTTAACGTTGTTCGTAACAACCTACCCTTAGCCTGAGCTCTGGGACTGGTGTTTAGCAAATTTAATTTTTTTTGTCAAATGAATACTATAATCCACCAACGCGATAATATTGTGTAAAAAAGCGTGATTACCTTCCTCCTCCACAGTCGTTACATCTGACTTGCATTTGCTGAACCATTCCTGGACCACTTTGCTGCACAAGATTCTTCACTCCTCGACCACGACAACAGTGACATTCGTAAGATTGCCCAGTTTTTCCACCAGTTCTGAAAATGGTGATGGAAACAATCAACTACTAAAAATGACTCGAGACAACACGTCGCTAAGTCAGAGGATGACGTTGAAAAGTATCGCTTTTTGAAAATGACAGCTAAGTTTCAGTCTCCATTCATTATGGAAAGCATGTCTCAACGGCTTCACACCACTTATGCTGATTCTCTCGCCACCCGTTGAGAGTGGATAAAAATGATCTAACCATAAAATACATTTCGCCAAGTACAATCGAATAAGAACCCATACAAAGAAACAGTTCTTCTCGGTAACCGGATAACCTTAAAATCAGCAAAAATGAAAGAAAATGAAAGGATGAGCCCAAATGAAGAAAATCGAGCCCCAGCTGATGATTATCACCCTACGACCCACCAATGAACACGCGGGTCCCGCCCTATGCCAGCCATGCACCACATCCCGAGGTGGGCGGTCGTAGCGGGGCCAGGCGGCGATAGCGCATAGTACATGCCCTGGGGCCTTATTACTGCGCCGTTTCGAGATTTTGAGCGTGGGAACATCTCTACGGGTGCGTAACCAAGTACAGGCATGACCGAAAGGGTTGGTTAGGTCAACTAATCCCGACCTTTGCCTTTAAGTTCACTATAACTTCGTTAAAATATTTTACTTGAGGCCGTTGTTACTTGTGGTGTTTGGTCTGCATTCGATGTGCTTCTGATTTTCTGAAACAGAGGGTAGCTTATATGATTAGTGTTGTACGGAATTTGATTTCTGTACGGGAGGTACGCATATTCATGCGAAAGAATGATACTCGGAATATTCAAACAAGAGAAAATGACAGCCTTGGCAAAACTGCTCAAAAACCCGTTCTTCTTTATAGAATGCGCTACAGGCGAGATTCCTTTTACAACACGGGCTAGATTGAACCGAGCAGGGCGTTCAGGACGTGTGTCTGACGATTAGAAGTAGGCATTCGACTTATTTTCAGATGGAGGTCTTTTCTTTGCGTTCAGAAAAGTCTTGATGGTGGAAGTTGAAAATGTGGTAGGGAGGGGGTTACTATGGGCAACCCACTCAAGGAAAAGTAATCTGTTTAGAAAATTTTCCGAAGATGAGGATTGGTCTGGGTGAGGAAAGGAATTTAGTTACTGAAGAAAGCGCTCGGTTTAGCTCTGAAGTAGACACGGGTCCACACATCTGGCATAACCTCGAGCTGAAAGACGAATCACGATGAAACAACCCATGTCACAGTTGACCTAGGGATGAAGTGAATCGCGTACACGAAGATTACAGAAGACAGAAGCGCAAGAACCATGAGAAACGGCCAGAACCCGAGAAATGGTACCCCTTCCTTGCCCGTTGATTCGAGCATTGATGCGACTCTCATCGCTGTGCCCTCTTCAACACTACGCTCTCTCAGCTATCTAATCACTCGCCACGTATTGAACTACGGCGAGTGATCAGATGATCGGTGGGCGGAGATCGCCGGACCCGCCAGCTTTGAGGCATGATAGGTCGCCGAGGTCAAATTTTTCCATGCGAATTGCGCGTCAGTTCGCACCCTCAGGAGGTCCGTGGGTCCCTCAACTAGGTCAGTTTCCCTTTCTTCGACCTTCATTCTAATCGTGAATTCCTCCTTTAAGACGTTCCCGATAGAACGAATCGTAATCGACAGTAGCGAGAAATTGCCTAGCAGTGAATCAGGCGGACTTCGTGAGTGTGCGGACTGACAGGCAAATCGCAGCGAAAGATTTGACCTCGGCGATACACCATGGCGCACTCTCGGCGCAGATGGCCCGGAACGCCCACCGACTACTCAATCGCTCGCCAGAGCTCTATACGCGGTGAGTGATTAGATGGCAGGGAGAGCGTTAGCGTTGAAAAGGCCACAATGATGAGAGCAGCATTAGTGCGGAAATCAAACAAGGAAGGGATCTCATTTTCTCGGTTCCTGAGCCGTTTCTCATGGTTTTTTCTGCGTTCTTGCTCCGCTCACCACCCTTATTTCCGCAAAGCTACCTTTTCATCGTAAATTACACCTTTGAAGACGGTTTCTGATCAGTTTTTACCAGGATGGACGAGAGCATCCCCCCTAAGGGCTCCCTGTATCTTGTATGAAGCCAGACAAAGATTAAAGAGAGTGAAGCATGTTTGCCAAATCCATGGCTCATCGACTGATTGCGTTCAATAACTCTGCAACTAATCAATTTTACGGCTCAGACCCGTTGTCACGAAAGTGATTGATACCTAATGATTTGATTAGTGGCAGCGTACCCACAGTGGGGGCAGGGGGGAAGCCATTTTAATCACACTGACCAATTTTTCGTCGCAGAAGTTGCCGCCTGTTGACGGCGATGCTGTACTTGAAGTAAATATTCCCAATCTTTCTCTAAATAGATGCAAGCCCTGCTTCACTGCTCTCACCGTCTTCAGAATATGACATCATCCACCATCGTCATCGAGTCCAAGGAGCCTACCGTAAATGCTCCAGCCTGAAGCTCTTGCATAATTTCTTGAATCGGTTTTCTTTGAATAATTTCCTAGAGACAAGCTCGGTGCGTTCTGCAAACCCTCCCCAAAGCTTCTACGTTTCGCGAAGACTTCGTAAGGGCATATGATCCTAGGAGAACCCCTTTAAGATTCGTCCCGTGTTTCAGGTTTCCGTGGCAGGATTTTTCTGATATCGTAAAAGTAGACGGCCACGATGAAGTTTTTATATAAAATGTCTGAAAAAATGGAATGTTCTTTCCGAATTTAAGTAGGAGCATTCGATTGAATTTAGCAAGTGTGGGTAAAACCATTTGAATCTGGAGACATGCCAGTTTTACCTCCCCCCCCCTCTGAATATCGAGAGCATTCAAAGGCAGATAGAACGGAGCAGCAGGAGTCGTGGAACGACTCCCTTCGGTGTAAAATAGACCGCCTAGAGGACAATCACAGATGTGGCCACCGTCACTGAAACCAACGAAGACCTTGGTCCTTGCAAAGACTGGCAAGCTGCCGATTTTTGCCTCTCATCAGATTGTTCCTGGGCGCTCTCTCAGAATGTAGCGCTCTCTCGCCCCATACTCTCCTCTCCGCCTTTAGTCTCTCGATCTCCTTAGCACAGCCTTATTAGGAAAAAAGAGTGAACCCTTAATCTAGGCGTTTTTGACAAATTCTTTTACTTTTTTCTTTACTGCCGGCCCACTTCCGCCACACAATGCACGCATTCAGGTGCCAAGAGCCACACACTTACCTTTGCACTGTCCGTAAAGTGAGTGAGTCTTAGACTACCATGATAAATAGTGATGAGGGTTATGTGAAGTTACGATTTAAAATTGCACCTTCATGTTTGTCCGGACGTCATTTTGAGCTGATCATGGCCAATTATCATAACAATTCAGAGCAGGTTTGGAAAATTTGAACTGCACTGCAAAAAGTGGCTATTTGAGAGTTGAGAGAGCGTCTAGAATTGTGATTGTTGCGTAGCAATGAGTCAACATTACACCAGGGAAGTAATAGGAGAACACAAGTGAAAAAGAAAAAAAGTAAGAAAACGTACGAAAACAGGAAGACAGGCAATACTGGCCTTAAAGCAACAGTCCAGGCAGGGTTTCAACTACTTGGTCATTAGGCGGTCAAAACATGCCCCAGCCCAACTAAAGTTTATAGGAAATGTCTTTAATTTCAAAACCTACCTCTAAAATGCGCTGGAAGGGGTCGAAGTCCTCTTGGAGGGGGCGGATCACCCATAAAGAGGCGGATCGCCCAACATACGCTGTGCAGAGCGCTTGCTCGACTAGCGGTCGTTGCGGGACCGCCGCGCTGTATGAGGTCGATTCCATAAGAACGCAATTGAAGCGCTTCAATTTCGATTGCTGGCAAATAGTTATGTATTTGCAAGCATGCATGGCTATTTGCCAGCAGTCAACTGGAGCGCATGTACTACGGGCAGGTTCGGACAACTCGTCCAACACACATCTCCCTAAACGGCCGGGGGAGTCCCTGTCTAAGCCCCTGCCCGACGTTTTTTTCTACTTTTTCTTATCTCCATTGACCAACTTCTCACCTGCAACGTCATTATAGGTGGTCCTTACCCGCGAATTCGTTCCTGGATTGTTGCTTTAAAGTGAAAGCACACGTTAGACAGTAGCGAGTGGTGGATGGAATGGGAAGGAGTGGTGGGAGAGGGTGACCGAACCGCTCAGTGTGAAGTTTCACCCTATTTTCCTTTCTCCATCCACCCTGTACTCCTTCCACTCACTTCTCCATCATTCCAGGTGAATCAATGGTGCCAGAAAAGCAAAAGATCAGGCATACCACATGAACATTAGGGTCGAACATATACCGCTGAACAATAAACCCTAAGAAAAACAGACTTCAATGTGTTACAGTAACAGTGGGAAGCGATGACTATTTGCGGGAACAAACATTCACACTGACCAGGTTTTAGGCCAAATCCTACTCTGCCACTGCTCTGGCATTCGTTCTGCCATCCAAACCGAATTTATGCTCCTTGACTCACTACTCCTTGGCTTTTACTTTCCTAGATACTTTCTACTATCAGTAAGCGTGGGAGAATAGTGACCAAAAGGGGAAAAAGGGATGTAGAGGAGGCTGATATTTTTATGGTGCCCAAGAGGCCGTCGCGCGCGCGAAGGAAGAGACTCAGAAAGACGAGTCGCAGCGTGTGACGACCGGTAGACGGACTCGGTACACTCTATTTGAACTTCCGCCTTACCTATCAGTATACGTCTGCGACTTGCGTTCTTTGGCCACCTCGACGTCTTTCCTCGCCGACGCGACGGCCTTTGGGGGACACCGGGTTGAGGGATGGACTGTGGCCTCATCTTGAGTAGTGCATAAGAGAGCTAGCCCCTCACGAGGTACTTCGACAGGAGACCGCGTCGGAAAAAGCATAGAGCAGCGCAGGGGTCACGAACTAGCCGCCCACAGACGTACTGTCGCGATTGCGCCGAAGAATGCGCCCGGTAGTATGTCTTCAAAGCAACACGTCGCGCTCCGTGCTTGTCTGCTTGTCTCGCACTTCCCGTCGCGCGGACGGGCCTCCCGTCAAGTACCGCCGCCACATATTGCGTGTGTGTTTAAAAACGCTATGCCTGGAGCGCTTCCCACGAAACCCGGTCACCGAATTTTTATCTTAGAAAGCGAGTTCCAATCAGGACTTTTCCGATGAAGTCGTACAGATATTATCTACGAATTTTATGTTCGAGAGACGTAAAATAATTCCTTGATCTATGCATTCGACCAGCTTCTGACCTCTTTTGAAGTCCAATTTGCATAGGTCCTCTTTGATAAGCAATGAACGTATGCAAATGGGGGGACGTAGCTCTTGGTAGACGACATTTGTCGTAAGGATGAACCGGTTTTCTTGATAGCAGTCACGAAAAACGTTTAGTATCCTGTGAGATAAGGTCGCAAACATTGGCGAATTGCTGTTATGCCACGGAATTTGAAGAATGCAGTGGTGCAGCACAGAGCCGCAACTCTTGAAGATAAAGCCACAAAGGTTAGGCAAATTTAAAGGCACAGGTCGCGATTAGAATTCCCTTATAGAAAATCTCTCCCTGAGCGAGATTTCAGAATCCCTAGCACAGGCTTTGAAGTTATCGCCGTGACTGCGGCGAAATGTGCCCGCTCGACGCAGAAAGTAAGGGTCTTGGTTGACCGCCTGCGATCGCTTGCCGTGCTTACTAATCGCTTGACGACCTGGCCCTCTCGATACGACGTGCCCTCACGTGGTCCCCCTTCTCGCAGCGCGTTCTCTCCGTCGGTCAACGCTCATTCAAACAAAAGAATTTTTATGCTTTTTCGATGACTGCGCAATATATTTTTTTACCATTTAAGTTTTTTTCTTATTTTTCTATTGTAGTCTTGGGCGGAAGTGGTGTAGTGACAAGTGGCGCGCTTACCACGCGAGCGGTCCGGGGATCAAATCCTGGGTCGTGAGTCGCCCGGGCCAACCAAGCCTTCCATCCCTCCGGGGTCGGTTAATTGGTACCAGACTTGTCTGGGAGGATAAAAACACTGACTTGTACATCGGCTGGCCCCCGCAAGTCATTGTATAGGCCACATCGCATTCAAACGCCACTACGAATGTACAAATGGAAGTAGAATGCGTGCCGCATCCCAAAAGGGATTGATCAACGGCAAATGCTTTATCCTTATCCTTTATAATTTTGTCGCCCTCTTGTCTAATTTTGGAACAAAATATTTAATACACCAATTCAATCGCGACCGTGTCTTCAATGACAATTAGGAAATCTTCAAAGGGAGGTAGGTCTGTTCGGAAGTGTTCTCCTGGGATCTAACGCTATCTAAAAATCGGATGGAGAAAGCTGTTGCGCCATGCATAAGGCTGCAGTCACTTTTTCCCACAGTGTTATGATAACTCCAAAACTGATCTGATTGAGTTCCTCTCAACTAACTGGTTTTATGAGTCCGAGAAGTATTAGCACAATTTCAAGAAGTCATAAGGCTGATCGACGCGATTACCAATCCCTTTTGTAGAATACGACGTGGTCACGCCGCTCAAAGTCCGAATATGTTTCTGTCCGATACGCTTTTTAGACATAGCTTCGGAAAGTGCAGCTATCCTAGAATGCTATTGAACATCTAAATGCGGCTGTCAAGCGTTTTGAATAAGCTCAACGGGATCATCTGAAAAGCAGGGACACTGAACTCGATAAGTCCGGTTACTTCAACGTGAAAATCGCTTTTGCATTGAAAACATGACTAAGGCCCCCCACATCAATCGGGAGAGGAGAACTCTAGGGGTGTGACGATTTCATTCCCCCCCCCCCGGAAATTTACTGCCCTCCTCGCACTTGTAGTCTTGACCGTTCCTCTTCTGCAGATAGCGTCCCTTTCGCTGTTTTTAGGACTGCTATTCCAACGACTGCTTTCGGGGATGAAAGGTTCGGTTGTATGAGGAGGATGTAAATCCCAGAACACTGCGAAGCTCTTCTGAAAACTTCGCCACTTCTGTTCTTACGCCCATTTATTGTAGTTGGCAATTGGCTTGCCGGCCAAAACTGAGGTGGTCACGTCTTGGTACGATGCTGGTACTGGATGGGCACTGGCGTTCTGGCAAAGTATTTTTAAAACGTTGAACTGAAAGTCTATTTCAGTGGGCCTGACCATTCATTTTTTCCGTTGAGGTAGGTAGGTGAGTTGAGAGAAGCCATTGAGATCAAGAGATGTTCTGACGGTACGACCTGTGGGGGGCGGGTGCAGAATTCGACTCAAATGGACGCAGAGCGTCCAAAACCAGGACTTTGACTTCAGGTGGGTTTCAGATGGGCGAGCAGGAGCAAAATAAGACTAATACAATTATTGAGGTTTGAAACTTATTAGGCCAAAATGATTCATCGCACGCTGTTATCAGTATTGATCAATTACCGCCTTTTGCAAAATTGTTGACGACGTGCTGTCACGCATTGGATCTCTTGCTCTCACATCTTTCATTCCACAAATGGCAAGGTGTGTAGTGCGCCGGCATCGTAGTCCAGCAGAAACTGATGTGGGTGAGCCTTACGATTAGAAAGACCCTTTTCTTCATACACCGCCTTTGTTTTTACAGTGATTGTACTTTTAGAACGTTGCATTTTCCTCCCCCATGAAATTTATGTAAATGTCGTACGAAAAGGGTTTATTTTTTCTAATATTAATTGTAGACATGTCGAAGAAAACTAGCACAGACAGAACAAAGCAGTATCTCCGCAAAGCCGCCGCTCGGTCATCATCTTTTCTTTCCTGCTTTGCCTTTCTTTTTCTTCGGTGTCGACGCTTTCTTTGCTTTACCAGACTTCTTCTTCGACGACGATGGTGACTTGAAGGATTTCTTGGGGGTTGCTGGATGGCTTGACTTCTTCTTTACGCAATCTTTCAAGCCCACAATCTTTTCACTAAGACTATCATCTCAGCAACTTTTGCCGTTTCCCACCAGGACCTGCAAAATAATCTAATTGATCGAACGCGAGCGGATTATAAGCGCCTTCTGAAAGCTCGGTGATAGGGAGTCGGTCAGGAAGCTCACGGTGCGGCGGCACACGAGCTCTTTTCAGTTCGTCGTTTTGGTTTACCGTAGCACAGCGTCAAATCTATTAATTTGTCTTCGTGTACGACCAATATCGTTCCTGGACAGCGCGAATTCAAAAAAAAATCCAGATTCGATTGGTTATCTCCAGTTGTTCGGAGATCCATAGATACTAAAGGCACATCCGGTAGAGGTAAGTGTGAATTGCTTGCTCTCGCGTCCATCGGCATAGAGCGCTAGAGACCAATCCATGTGGCATTACGAGTATTGGCAATACCCGACAACGGCGCAAGCAGATTACAATAGTTAGCTGCAGCCTGCAATGCATTACGCAGCGTTCACAGTAGGCTCATGTCGGGCGCTCTCTCATCTATTGCGCTATCTCGCCTTATGCTCTCTTCTCTGCGCTGACTGTCTCATCGCCTATGGCCCACAGCCGCATTATGGAAGATACCAAACTAACCTATGTATAATTAGTGCTTCTTCCTCACTGATGGCTCATTTACGTACGACTGCCACTCTGTTCCGCGAAGATTTTGTGATATGGATCTGTTGAGAACTTCTTGACGAATGCAACCACTATGCAGCTGGCACTTTTGGAAAAATAAATAATTCAAACGAGCCACTGCGAGGAGGATGGAGGGAGAGGGGGAATGATCAAAGTGTGGTGAGGGGAGTTCAAATGAGTGGAGGGGGGGGTGCGCTTCGAAAGCGAGGTGAGGAGGTTGTTCAGATAAAGGCGGGTGGCTGGCGGGTGGTGGTGGAGGAGGTGGAGGTGGTGGTGGCGGTATAGGTGGTCCACCCATCATCTCTGGAGGAGGACCTGGAGGAGGAGGTGGAGGAGCAGGTGGGGATACAGCTGGTACTCCTTCAGGTGTTCCAGCAACGGGAGACATTCCTTCTGCTGGTGATCCAGGGACCACTGGACCTTCGGGAGTACCTTCAGGCGCTCCCTGAAATAAGAATACGCACTTTGTAGAACTTTTTTTTTGAACTGTAAACGTTTATCATTAGGGGGGACAATTGCGTGGACTTGTTACGTAGTCCGCCAGTAAGACTAAGCATAAGCCCATAAGGAGCGAAGTCTCCCTGAAATTAGGCAAAGATTATCCGGCCAGGGTTTTCGTCCTTGAGGCTTAGTGTTGGCCTTAGACTAGAAGATAAGCTATCCGTGATTAGAATCACGTATGGCTCGGAATCGCATTCCCCTCTAAACTGCAATGAGACTCAGGAAATTCATTTCTATGCAAATCAACCAGAACTATGAAGCAAAGGATTGGTTCTTCAAGCAGTACTACTATTGTGGCAAACAGTTATTGCCTTCGTTATATGCCTGGACTTCCTCATCCATGTTATGCAAAAAAGGGGTATCGATTAGAGCGCGCGCAAAATCAATACTAATAACTTCACTGCGCATGCAAAAGGGGTAGCCTAACACAGCATCACATATGGTGAAGGTAACGAAATGAAGAATCTCTCGAAATAGAAGAGCATCATGACTCGAAAAACCGAGAAAGCGAAATTGATCAAGATGGTCTCACCTGCTGTGATCCACCCTCCTGAAAAATATTGATTTATTCTGAATCATTGTCTGATCCTAAATTTTTCTCAGTTGTTCAACAGAATCAGAAACGAGGAAAGAAAAAGGGAAAATCAGGACAGAGATAAGTAGAAAAGAGAAATGATCAAGTCACGCCCACAGCCGGGTCGAACCCTCGATCAGTAAGCAAGCTTGTGTAAGGAAAAGGATAGCAGAGGTCCATTTTGAACTAGGCTCGCTAAAGGGCGGTTGAAAGGCAAATGCATAATCAAATAAGCGAACTCGAATGATATCCTTAGGAAAGAATCTGATCGAGAAGAAATCGCTTGAGTTCGTATGGTAAACGCTTCAGTGAGGCGTGTTCCGAGGTGGAGGGAGCGCGGTGGCATTTTCTGTGAATGCACTGTGCATGCATGCATTGTGTGTGTATCGATCGGAATGCGCGACGCGACAAAATGATGACGCGCAAGTGTGCAGCGCAGTGGGAGAGGACATTCGAGGGGAGCCGCTTAAACACTTAGCGGACCACTGGGGCGTTAGATTGGCCATCGGATGTTTACGTGCAAGTATGCGCTTAGGTGCATCGCTCAAGGACGGAGCAAACAAACGTATACGGATCGTTCTCTCTAGTGGCCCTCCCGCCTACCCTAATCGATGCGTATAGCTTTTCTGGTTGGATCCATTGCCTAGTCGCCCAACCGCCTAATCGCACGCACAATCGCCAACTCTGAACGCTCCATAAGTGAGTCGAAGGGATTCGGAAGGAGGATGCGAGGAATTTCTATTTCCTTCTTCATCCCCAGCGTTTCGTATAACTGGGGCTCGTCCAAGGCGTCGTCTCATCGCCTAAACAGCCGCTATTTCGAGCGCATGCTTTGAAAGCTCCCACGCCACAAGACCTCGAGGTCCTGAGCGCCAAGACGTAAATAGCAGTCTAACGACCAAGAGATGCATACCCCTGGAGCACCGGATCCCTCTTCATCTCCTTCTTCTCCTTCTCTTCATCACCTTTCTTTGAGCATCCGAAACTCATTCCGGTGCTCATCAGAAGCTCATAACGCAGAACGAACAAGACAACAGATTCTATTGTCAAACTACACAGGCCCAACATCTTAGGCTCCTGACATCAGTGAACAGCCTGAAAGCCTCGTGACACGCATACAGTAGGATATTCCCCTTACCATTACTACACAGACAATACTCGTTTCCATTGCGCAATTGACGTCCTACCTAAAACATACGGCACCCAGGCATATGGAGTAGCCGAAGGATAAATCGCAACAAGTCAAATGTGACCTGGCTCAAACTGTTTTTGCGGGAAACGCACACGACCGTATCAATACCGGCATTCCACATCATTGTAATCACTTAGATCACCTACCTCTTTGGCCAGACCACCTAACACTTTCTTCCAAATTCTAAGAAAACAGTACAAGTGAATGGAATCCGTCGAGTAAGCTATAAACTCTGAACAACCGATAGCGAAATCTTGATTGTCAGAGTGATAGCAATAGGTTTCGCCTGCGCAAAGACGATGACGCATCCGATAGAGATAAGGGTATCAACTTTCGGATATACCGCTGCGTACAACCACCGGCCGGTAAGTTTGCAGCATTATATGACTAACTCAAGAGACTAAGCCGCACACGGGCGTACCTGTTAGAATGAACTCCCTGCTTACCTGAGAACATAAACGTTCAGATGTTCTTCTGCGGCAAGCCGGTAGGGACACAATTGGATCTGGACGGACACCGAATTAGGCTGAAGCGATCAATTTTAAAACCACAGGAAAAGATTACTCTGCGGTGTATAGCTCAGGGTTCAATGTGCTCGGGTTTTCTATCTAAAGACTAAGAATTTCATGCCAAACTGTGAACTCACAGAATAACAAGTATGGCCCAGCTAACTAAGTTTAATGCACACAATGTCTCGCAAGCACTCAACAGCAACAAAGCATGTACCCCAGATAAACTAGTTTCTGCACATGTCCTCAGCCAAAAGTACGGAAGCGATAATTCAACTGAGACGTGATTAACTACCTCTCGTTGGTCAGGCTACAGATGACGTATATTCTAAGATTAATTTGCAGTAGCGCGTATATAAATGAGATAGAGAGAGAACTGGCGCAATATGTCCATCTAGGGGGACATCAACAAAGAAGCGCTGGTATAATACTGCAAACTCTTGTCCAAGGGGGGGGGGAAAAGAAACGAGGGGAGAAATAGAAACATTGCTCAACAACCCACAATAACCACTTTCTGTTTCAATGGGCATAGTTCCCAAGTCCAAATAGTGTAAAATGGACGCAAACACCACACTGAATGCTCTCCCACACATCCCCCACCCCCCCGGTTGCGCCCGACCATGAGCGCACAGAAACCAAACTACTCGAAGACGACTTAACGTTCTGCGAGATGGATGCAAGAAGCGCAAGCGGCGAACAACACGGTCGAAATGAACCGACGATTTACTATTGCTAATGGCCGCCTTCCGAAACACACTAGATTTTGAATATATGGAGGTAGCAAAAACGGGAAGGTACAGTACGCTCAAAAATTCCAGCTCCCCTGGAAATGGAAAAGACCCGAAAACAGAAAAGGGTAAATCATCCAAGTCCCACCCATATCTTTCATTATTCAGCCTTGAGGGGAACGAGACCGAAAAATTAAATGGGGAATAATCGATAGAGAGCCGTCGCGACAGATTAGACAGATCAGCGGACGCGATACACCAGCACATGCAATGTCTTGTGAGACACACACAAATGCCGTACGATTGGCTTTAACAGTATGCAGAACGCGAAATCAACACTACCGACGCGCGCGTACTCGTCCGACTGACTCCTGCCATTTGTTGTCAGTAGCGGAATCGGACATCCTGATCGCGCGCACGAAACTTGAGTCGGGGTGCAACCCTAAGGGTTCTGGTAAAGGAAGCGATTACGATAAAAGGGGAGCGCACCGGGGAAGTATAATATATGCGCAACACGTCACAGAGCAGTAGCTTGGCTGTGTGACGCCGTTCACGAGTTGAAAGTCGGCTGGTTCTGACAGAACAGAAAAGCAGGCGACTCCCGCTCCAAAAGTGGCGCCGCCCCGAAATAACGCTCCTCCCACTAGTTTAGTTAGGTGATTTAGACGAAGCTGTGGTGCGGCCAGTGGCACAACCAAAGCACTGACTGAGCACAGTTGACATATTTTTACCAACGTTTTCGATACACAGGTTTATACTTTGGTGTCTGAGCGTTGCCATCAATGAGTAAAACAGCCACCGCAAGTGCCAAGAGGGGGGAGGGGCATCACAACAGAGCCGATTTGCTAGCTTGACCTAATATAGGACTTGTAGCCAGGAGAGGCAGAGAAATGCCAAGGATCCCTCAGTACAGCAAACTGGCCACTTACCCAAATGTCTCCTGACGACATGAGCCCCAGCGCCAAACGTGGGCTGGCATTAGCATTCCTTGGACCTTTACTTCATCCGATTATTTGATCACTGCATATCACTATCGCGTCCTTCAACGTATGCAAGGAAGCTATCTCTATAGCTGCTTTAAAGCACATAGAAACCCACGATCAAAGCAGTGGGGTTCCCCGAAAGCACACTTGCTGAGTCGTTGCAGACATCCTGCTACGTAGACGGTTGCAGGGACGGTTTGTAGGCGACAACGAATCGATCCTGATAAAGAGAGATGTTCAGTCTTCTCTTAAGGGTCAGGTCCCAGAGGGCCCGTAGTCATACAGTCTAGGTTAAGCTTGGTTAGCTTAGACATAGGTTGATGTTTTACACAGTGTTTTACGCTTAGCGTCTATGCATTGCGCTAGGATCAGATCCTTAGCTTGTTCGATGCATTGCAGTGGGCGTCTACAACTTTCTAACGTGGCGTGACCTGATGGAGGAGAACTGCAACGGCAGCGGAGGAACTCCCTCGGCCGCATTGCAAAAACAGGGATCACTGTAGCGGGCGAAGGGTTATCACATGATGGAGGAGGCCATCACTCCGGCGAATGCAGATAAGGAGAAGGGACTTAACTTGTAGAAAAATGGAATTTGATAACTCATCCTGAGGCCCCTATTTACAACCGATCCCCTGAGATTGGTCCTTGAATTGACCGAAAACCTTGGCCACAGTTCAAAGTTGGAGTTGCAGCATCAATACGCTTCCCACCCTCCCCCCCACGCGACCTCCTGGCTGAGATATAGTGCCGGCACAAATGCTGCGTAGACACTCTTCCGTCTGTGCATATGACCAGCTTCTGTCCCCACCCTACGAAAGGACCGTGCGTCTCACCTGAAATGAATGTATTTCCTCAGGTTCTGTTCGCGGTGTCCTTCAAGTTAAACAAGCACGTCAATTTAGCGCTCTCTTGCTAGCAACAATTTCTTACTATGAGCGATAAATTTATCGTAACCACAGCCTTTCAGGAAAAAATGTTGAGTGAGCGGTATGATTTCAGGTCGACTGCTATAGCTGGCAACGCTGTAAAGTGAACGAGATTGATGGAACACCTCGATGATTGACGTAATCTGCATTCTCCTGATCCTGGTACTCGTTCATGCTTTGATCGGTTGCGGCAGACGGAGAAAGGAGGGAGAAGGGGGAACAGACACTGAAGAATCGTCGACAACTTCGTCAGCAAGGTCCAAAGTTGTGAATGGGAAATTCATGATGACCGTGAAGAGTTTAGATGGCCCTCCTTCGGATACCCCATACACTTTTCACCTAATCTATATTCGTAAGAACCCTCGAGCTTCTTTCTTTCGCCTGCTAAGACAGGATTACTGTAGCAGGTTGAACTACGGCCAGCGCCAAGAACTACGCTCACAAATACGCTGGAACTACGGTAAAATCGCGTGCACGTCTCCTGTCGCTTTCCCAGTTATAGGATGTCGGCTGCCCAACAGTCTTATATCCTTATAAGGAACCATATGCCGTGGTCACGGGCACATTGAGTAGATGGAAGCAGGAGGCAGGCACTAAGCTCAAAGCCAACCCTTGGGTTAACTGGCCATCAGTGTTATTCTGCTCAGACGAGGAGAGTCCGTTGTAATCCGACACAGGGCGGCTCCGTGAAATTTTGCCCCAAAATCCAAGGATCGTGGAACCTCTGCGCAAGGCAAGTTCCCGATAGGCACTTTCGGCTCCAGAATAGCAGAATCATGCCACGTACGAAGAGGCTCAAGAGAATGCTAGCCACTGCGTACGCGACAGGTGTCGAGAGCACCTCCAAGCCATAAGGAGCCAGCAATATAAACCATATCAGAGGTTTAGAGCATTTCATAACTGAGCTTGGGGGACACCACTATGCAGAGAACCCATACACCATTATCTCCTCCCCGTGTCCCTCCCCCTCTAGGACTGATCCTTAGGGGGAATAGGGGATGGATTGTAAGCAATTGTCATTTTCCCGAGGTAGTCCCTTCTTCAGGGTCTCTTCTGAGGCGATGGAGGGATAGAACTCCCACCCACGATCACTCGGTTCGCTCCGACTAGCACAACTCATGTGGTACCCATTGGGAACGTACTGGTTTACAACCGATATCGTGGAGATCCCCGATAACCATCGAATGAGTGCACCTTAGCGTTGTTGCTAACCCATGGCTGGAAGCAGTGGGCTGCTGGCTGCTACAACAGCCCCATCACGGCCCCGCCCGGTGTTTCCTTCTCGTCTTTCCGGTTCTTCCCAATCGCTCTTGTTCGGCAGTCTCGCAGGGCGTTAGTATTTAGAACTTGTTCCGTGATATTATTCCTAGTCCAATTTTAAGGTGGTTGACGGGTCGTCTTCTTCGACCCGTCAATCGACCACCTTAGAACTGGACTAGGAATACCGACGTGAGCTGGTTCTTTATTGAGGGTAGTCATACACTTGTCAGTTTATTGTTCTCTCTTGCCGTCTAGTCCATCTTTAAGTGAGTGGTGACTGCGGGACCTTTACGATCTGGTTGCTAATGCCCAGGTTCCGTAGTGAACACCCGGTTCTCCACCCTAAGCCACTCGCAGGTCCTCTCCTTGACCTAGCGATCCGCAACAACACTGATATTTGAAGAGATCTTGCTGGAAGCCGCGTGCACGGCGCTTTGCAAGGATTTCGTTAATTTGTTAATAGAATTCTTCTTTTTCAGGCACCAGAGGAAAAGTCCGCACCTTCACTTCGACTGATGGTAACGACCGTATTTCGCTGTTTTCAGCAGTTCTTTTTCGCTTCAGTTCAATAAAAATCGTTTTCAGACGTGCATAGATGATGACCTTCCGGAGCTAAAACCAACCCAGGCCGATGATGAAGACAATCCAGAGATAGCGGGGCGGGTATGGGAAGAAGCCGGGTGGCCCTTACGGTGCCTCCCAAACACCCTACACCAACGAAGACGAAGATAGCGGAGATAGCTGTGGGCAAAAAAGCTGAAGCCGATGAGGTGAAGGTTGGTAAAGCCTCGGAGAAGGAGGAGAAGAAAGCCTGTAGTTGTTTCGGAGAAAAGAAAGGAAGAGGACGACAGTCGACAAAAGGTAAAGAAAAAAGAACCCGAGGATATGTGGGAAGCGTTTCAAAAGCTGGAGGAAACCCAACCGGATCTGATCGAGTACAAGTCGATTATGTCACCAGTGGCGGTCAATATGCTGCAACAGAAGCAGGACTCTGCCAAAGCTGGCTCTCTTGGTGATCTGATCAACCAGCTCATCAAGGTGAAATCAGCGAAAAGAGAGAGAACGAACAAAGCCAGTCACGATAAGCAAGTCGGTAGTGCCAAAGCAGAGCCACCGCCGCCACCACAGCTGCCAAAAGAAGTCCTTCAAAGCCCTCAACCTCCAACTCCAGTCCGACTGACTAAATCGTTGGGTCCTCCGCCGCCTTCCCCAAAAACAAGTGGAACTCAGAAAGCGAAAAGTGATGCAGAAGTGGAGAAAAGAAGCAAAGCATTATCAAAACAGGTGAAGAAAGGTGAAGAATTGAAAAAGAAGCCCATCGTTAGTAAGAAGAAGAAGGTGGGAAAAAGGCGGTAACGCGAAAGGGGTCAAAGGTGGCATGAGTAAGGCTAAGGGTAAGAAGAAAGCAGGAAGAAAGAAAAGGTGATCCATTAAGATGGTATTTATATGTGTTTTTTAGAACGTATAAGTCATTAACGTTTTCCGAATATAGAGCTTTAACTGTTATATATGGCCGATAAAGATGTCTTTGATTGAACTGGAGCACACACAGTCATCAAAAGCACAAACATTGGTCCCAAACGGAATTCTGATTCCTGTGCTCCGCCTTTCAGTTCCAATCTACCAACGTTTACACTGCGTTTCTCGCGGCCGAGCATGCCGTAATTGCAGACAAGCGACACATACAGTCGATATCCGAAAGTTGGGGTAGGTGTGTCACCGGAAGTGACGTGCACTTGATAGAAGTTGCGTGGATAAGCTGTTGCCAGCATGCTTTGCTGATATCCAGCGATGTATGTTGGAAGCAGCTTATCCACATAGTTTCTATCAAGTGCACGTCACTTCCGGTGACACGCCCACCCCAACTCACGGATATCGAGTATATATCAAATCACCATCAAAAAATATTTATAATGTAAGATTAGAAAGTTAATCGGTGTTAAGTGGGTTGGGGGGACCACGCGGCGGCGCGGCACTTGCTCGCCTGGCATCTTTGCGTACTTCGGGAAATCCGTGAGCCAGGGGGAGTGTAGGCAGTCTAGGGGGGGGGGGGGGGTGAGGGCAGTCACTTGACATGCGTGAAAAGCTGGAATGTTCGAGTTTACACTGTCTCGCTCGAGAGAGCGCCAGGTGAGCAGAGCGCCGCGCCGCCGCGTGGTCCCCCCCCCCAAACTTAGGCCGATGTCAGACTTTGCGAATCGCGCGATTCGCTAGCGTCTGCGGTCGCGTCGCGGCCAGTGAATCACTCAATTGGCTGGTACCGCAACGCGACCGCGGACGCTAGCGAATCGCGCGATTCGCAAAGTCTGACATCGGCCTAAGCCAAGCAACACAAAGGGACATCGGTCTTTTGTCCTTATAAGAAGAAGGATATTCAATTAGTTGAATCCAAAATAATTTCACCCGGAAAATGTTTATCAGATCAGGGGAATTCGATTATTCTAGACTACTTCATGTGTCTCGCAGGAATCGAGATTACCATTTACATTCGCTTTGCTCTCGTAGGAAATATTTTGATGTCTGCATCGGTCTAGGGGGCGGAAGTGGTGCAGTGACAAGTGGCGCGCTCACCACGCGAGCGGTCCGGGATCAAATCCTGGGTCCGTGA